GCTCTTCTAGAGCTTTCAATCAAGTTCATAGTGCCAAAATCTAGTACTGACACTTGTGTGAGTCATGTTTAAGGTCATTTGTTTGTAACCATAATCCTTTCCATATCTAAAATTATAATCTCAAATATTCACTTTTGGGAATATAGTTAAGCCCATTGGTTCATAATTAGAATATGTTCATTTAGAATATTCACTTATGGTAATAGAGTTTAATCATTGGATTTGGGTAGCCTTATGGTACAATTTTTCATTAATAATTTGTTCTTGTATTGAATCGTAAAAATTCACAAACTTGATTCAGAATATTTTTGTACCATTTTCTCAATGTTGCTACCACATGGAGCATATTCAATAGGCATAAAATATTGAGAGTGTTTTCTCTTATTTTTCTTCTTTCGAATTGTTCTAAAGATCAACGAGATCCTTTTAATCATGGTTTAGCTCTAGTTCTTAAGGAACTACAATACAATTATAAATAGTGACCAATATTATGCAATCCTTTAGGGATGCTTCAAAATGTAATTTCTTGGGAAATTTATCGAAATTTGATTTCTGAAATCCTCCAGAGATGCCTAAAATGTATTTTCTTTAGGAATTTATCAAGAAGGAAATACAAAAAAGAAAAGATTCTTGATGTAAATAACATAAGAAAGCGGAAATGAGAGAAATTAAGTTATGGAATATATTAAAATAAAAGAGAGGATAAGGATGTGATACTCCCTTTTATTTTGATATAACTTATCACTTGGTTGATAAAGATTTATGCTTGAAATGAAACATGGAAGATTTTGCTACACTAGATACTTGTGCATGAAACAAAACATGGAGCAATTCGTCATACTACAACTTATGTTGCTTCACCATTAAAGACTTGATCGTGCTGCTACATTACAAGATACTCGATCGTGATGATAAGGTGTTATAAAACTAAAAGAGAAAATACAGAAATGTGAAATGAACAGAGAGTAGAAGAATATCATTAAATATTCTTATTCCATTTTTCCATAGAGTGCATGTCTTTATATAGAACTCTAAGAATGAATATAGAACTAATTAAACATCAACACACCATTATACTTATATAGTTACAATTCATACCAAAGGTTATGGCAAGCAAAAAGTCATAACAGAAATCTCCTAAAATTCCAATAGTCATCCACATATAAAATTCATGTTTTACAATACATACCCTTTAATTAACTTTTTTATCCAAATATCCAAAATTAAACTTCTCAAGGAATTTGAATCACTGTATGAAAAGCAACTGATTTTTAGTTCTTTGCCACAAGTTACTGTTGCCAGTTAATCAAGTTATCAAATAAGGAATGACAATTGAGTGAAATAGAATATTAGGAATTACCTGTAGTCATGTATGAGAAATGAACCTCAGGGCATATTTGGTACATAGTATAGGATAAGGTTTGATAGTATAAGGCATGATTGTATAAGACCTGATTAAATTTTACTACTATCGAGCGTTTGGCATGAAATTGTATAAGATAATATATTGTATAAGATAATATCATTCAATGTTTGGTAATACACTGTATAATACTAGATAGGTTAAAAATAAATATTTTTATCAAAAATACCTTTTAATAATGAATTTACATAATTCTTCCAAATACATGAGATGATATTATTTTTTATAGAGATATGTTGATCAGTGTGTCCAAAAAATATATTAATTTTTATAAAAATACAAATCTCCAATATTTTTTTAAAATTTATATATTGAAAAATTATTTTTTATTTTAATATACTAATGTTAAAATAATATATTAATTCTTGAGAAGTGCATTGGTTAATACACCGACTCCTTATCAGGCCTAATCCTACCCTCTCAGGCCTGATTAAGTTATACATCATTTTGATGTATAAAGGGATCCTGCTGTATAAGCTTTACTATACGATGGTCACACCAAATAACTAAAAATGTTGTATCATATAGTATAAACTTATACTGTCAGACTTTATACATCACATCAAACAAGCACTCAATGTTGCCATCTATTTGCTATATCTTTTTCTTATTGTAAGTTTCAAAAACAATTCATTATTCTCTTTTGAAAACAAACAGCATGTCACAATGAGAGGGGGAAAAAGATTCTAGCTTTTTAGTGCAACTTTTTAATCCATTAGAATGCGTTTGGTATGAGAGATATTTTTTGTTATATGAAAAAAAAGATTTTCAGGAATATAGTGAGAAATTTTTGTTGCTGTGTAAGTTACAAAAGAATGTTTGATAGGTTAAAATATTACCGAGATTATTGACTCAAATTTATTTGTTTGGTTGATTGTTAAATATTTTTGGAAATTTGAGATGTTTTGATAAAAATAACCCTACCATCCCTGCTTTCTTCAAAAACGATTTACATAGGTTTTCTACATAGAGAAACGGGCACACTGGTACCCGGTTAGCGCCATGGTTCCTGTTGCGAAGGAAGGAGGTCCTCAATGTTCTCATCTGCGGCGTTTCTACCCTCCTCAACTCCATTCCTCTCAACGCCATGATTTCTGAGTAACTCCATACCAACTGTGTTTTAAGATGACTTATAGCAACAACAAAAGACGAATGCAAATTTGGAAAGTATTATATATATGAGGACTAAAGACGATGAAGGAGATCTGGCGATGACGGAGCACATGAAGACTATGAAGGAGATTTGACAATGTCATCTTTTTTTTTTTTTTTTGGTAAAATGACAAGTCATCTTTATCTACAAAATGTTTTTATTACACATCTCCTCACATATTTTACAAGAGAGCGTTTTAGTCCGAAAAAGTTACGATCAGAATTCAAATCAAAGGAAAAAATGAATACCATAGGTAAAAAGGAATTTTTTTTTTCTGGTCCATAGTGAAAAACTCAAATGTTGGGGATGATTTTAGAAATTTATTACATATATTCATACCAAACATGGTAAAAAATTATTTCCAACCCCACTTAGTGCAATTAAATAAAAAATTAGGGTATGTAAAATAAGACGTTTGTGTGAGAGGCATACTCTAAGGGGGCGTTTGGTTGAAGGTTTTTATTTGGTTTCCCATCTATCTTGAAGTGGCATTCTATGATTGCTTTGTTTGGTAGAAAGATTAAAAAAATTTAGCTATGCTTCTCTTTTCCCCATCCTTCACAAGTATGTGCAAAATCAAAAGCAAATCATGGTAAAACTTTACCATTTAAGATGTGGTATAAAGGTGAATGAAGAGTGTTACCATATTACCCTCTTCTAAGTACACATGTCTACATCTCTAAAATATCAAGAGTTATTTTTGGTATTTCAACATATTTACCCATCATTATTTCACCTTCAACCAAACAAAGACTCACAAAATTTAACTCAATTTCCCGATAAAATTTTGACCAATCAAACAACTTTTTTTAACTTTTCTACCAAACTCACTTTCCAACCATTTCTCTAATATTCAAAAAATTTCTCCTCAACCAAACACCCCATAATAGTTCATTTAAAACCATGATTTCTTTTACCCTGTTCTTTATCACGTATAGAAAACAAACTTGTAGAATTTGTAAGAAAACAGAAGCATGCAATATGGATGATAATCCACTCTTTATGGTGTAGCAAATATATAGACCATACCTATCTTGATTTTGGGCCTAATAAATATGTGTAGATGGACTATTCATTAAACCTTCATTGGTTCAAATCAAATAGGTACAAGGCCAGCGCAATTTGTTATAAGGAAAATGATTGTTTTGCAAAATTATTATTTTAACTATAGATTCAATGTTTCTCCTGTATATATAAAAGTGTGTCGGGTCCGTGTATCATATATTGCAATGCATATTTATTCATAAAATTTATGATTTTGATTGATTTAGGATGGAAGAACTCTGTACCATAACACCTAAATATGGAACGAGAAAAGAAGCAGGAAATCTGTTGAAATATCCGTTTGTTATCTGTAAAGAATTACTTCAATCCAAAATCTTAAGGTGTTGGGTAAGGGTCTTTATAATGATTTATATTATTCTCTAACACACTCCCTCACGCAAGAGCCCTTTGGGCTAGAAACGTGAATATTGCACGGGCTCAATTTTTGATTTACCTTTTGTGTTTTTTATTTTTAATTCTACTTTAAAGTGGAGAGTCACTTAAGTTCTAATACTATGTAAAGAACCACTTCAACCCAAAACTTTAAAGTATTAAGTAAGAACTTTTTTAATAATTTATATTATTCTAAAAAATTATCTGGAATCAGGTTCTATCAAGGTTAAGTCCATATACGAAAGCTGCATTCGCACGGAGCTATGAGTCATTTCTAGTTCTACATCTATTTGGCACACCACGCTACCGCCCCTGACATAGACTTCATAAGTTATAAGGAAAGGATATTAATATATAGGATATATCTCTATATAAATTCCAATGTTGAATTCTGTCCAACTCCTTTTGAATTCACATTTTCTTTATTTGTTTAAACAATTATAATCTAAAATGTTAAATTTAAATAATTTGTATAATTAAATTTTTTGAAATCTTGAATTAATTTATATTAAATATTTAAAAATATTTCTAACTTAAAATATATTAAGAATTATTTTTAAATAACATTTAGATAACTTTATAAAAGAAAAACTAATAATTATTATAATAGTTTTGTTGGAAAGGCACCTTTTCTAACAACCAAAAAGGAAGGCACCTTTACTGAGTTGTATTTTGTTTTTTCTTCAGAAAAGCTGATCTAATTATCTTAATTTTTTTATACATTTTTTACTTTAAAAAATATTGTTTTACTTTTGAAAAGAACACAAATAAACAAACCTTATTAGGCCGAATTTCTAAAGGGAACAAGGACAAACAATTTATTAAAACCACAAAAGAGAAAACAACGTCGCGTAATATCTTAAGTGACTTTACTTCACATACACACACCACAACGGTTACAGACACATAACTAAAGACGATAGGTTCAGAGTCTCCATATCTTATTTAAGAGGCTATGGAGCTTAACACTAATGTTAGTACATTGGATCAGGCAATGTAGTACGTTGGATTAGGCAGCTTAAAGATTCTATGTGCATAATATCCCAGGACATCGCTCCATTGGTCTCCTGTGTTTCCAATGATTCTGTATCCTTCTTCCACCAGCTTCTTTCTCTCTGCTGTTTTGTATTCACGTCCTGTTTTGCCTGCGTATATCGATTTATCCCTGCGTCCACAAATTATTTGTTTTTATATAAGAAAACCTTTTTTTATTTGAACCTTCAATGAAAAAAATCTCAACCCACATATTTGTTTCTTATTATTCAGGAGCATATACTCTTCAACTCCCTCACTCAATTATTCCTTTTCATATTTCATTTTATTCATGAGCAGTTGTCCTCTTACTCATTATTTATTTTATGACTGTGGCATTGAAGTTTGTATTTATAACCTCACCTATTTTATCTTGGTTTCCTACCACGATAGCGATAGCCCAATCCTATCTCATTCAAGTGTTTTGTCCTATTGTATCTCATTCACACCAGACAGCAGAGCGCAATAAATTTTTGTACGTCCATAATAATTTTGGCCAAAACCATGATTTGGTGGACTTTTCAAATGAGAATCCAAAAAAAACAATTTAATGTTTTTAATCATATAAATTTTTAATTATTTTTTAGTTATAAGACATTTATCATCAAATTTATGATATTTAATAAATTATTATACGTAGGTTTATATTTTTTCTTTCCTCTCTCTTTTCGTTAATATGATCCCATGTGGATCTCACATAGAAAATGAAATTATTTAATCACCAGAAAAATTAAATTCATTATTTATATGAACAAGTAATAATTCTTTAATTTTTTTTAGTAGACTGATAATTCTTTACTTTATTATTATGAGTTTTATAATTATCAATAATTGCAAAAAGACTACTTAAAGTATTAATTAAAAAAAAAATTCACTAACTTATACTGAATTTTTTTTTTAAAAAAGGGTTAGAAAATTAAGTGCTTGTTTTTCATGCTTAAGTAGAATAATTAGTTCATCGTAAGATACTTGTTGACGTTAAACTTATGTGCATTGTTGTTCACATGATTAATTATTAAAGCTTTTTCCTTTTAATGGATCTCAAGAGTATGCTTCTTAGGTAGATTATTATTACAGAGTTATTAATCTTATATAACATAAGATAGAGATATCTTAAGCAGGTGAAACAAAGTTGTGGGGTTAAAATTTTTAAAAAAAAAAATAAGAAAAAAATAGGCACAAAATTTTATGAATTTGCAATATAAGACAACAATCTTATGTGATATAAAACAATTATTTTTCTTATTATTATTATATTTTAATAAATATGATGCCTATTGTTATTTTTATTAATGGGCTTAAAAGTATGAATTGTATATAAACAATCTTAGAGCCTCTCTGATATTTTTTTAAGTTAAAAATTATTTTTAAGCTAAAATAAAAAACATTTAAAAATAAACTAAAAACTACTTAATGATTATATAAAAATTTTAACTTAAAAAAGTTTTTATTTTAAAAAAATGATATAATTTAAAAAAAGTTTCTCCTAAGAACTTTTGCCATTTTATTTTTCTCTTCGTTATAAAAAATTCCTTTTATAATAAGAATTTTGGCACAAATTTATTTGATCTAATTTTTGTTTATAAGAAGAAGAAAAAAACAAAAACTTACTTGGTAATTAACTTCTCCCATGTGTAGTATCCAGCTTGCGCCAAGTTCACACCTGTTACTTTCGCATGACGCTCTGATCTTTCAGTTAAGAACACAATCTTGATGCCAAGTGACACCAGTTTATTGTACAGCTTCAGAGTCTCCGGCAGTGCTGGTGCTTTGCCAAGTTCAAGCCATTCATCAAACGCCGTGTGGTTGAATACTTCCACCCTACCACCCAAAAAAAAAAAAAGTTCAATTTTTTCATAAAATACATTAACTATAATGAACAAGATTGTAAAAGGTCCATAACACACAGAGAGAGAGAGAGAGACAATCATATTATGCACAATAATAAGGCTAAGTTTATCCTTTTTATTAGACTGATAGTGATTAAGCAGTTACATTGACTAAAAAAATTGTAACACGTTAAATTAAATTTATGTCATTCAACTTATATAGTCCTTATTCAATTTATTTCTAATTAATATGATATTTCGTTTTCTCACACTTAAATTTCCAACTCAATATTTTTTTATATTTAGGCCGCTGATATTTTCTCACATAGCGTAAAAGTGTATAAATAGCATTGTTAGATTTCAAATACTGAAAAGCATTGCTAACCGCTTGAGACTATATATATATATATATATATATACCAAAAATAGTTGAACATGTATGATATATAAGTATGCATGTATGAAAAGTGAAAAACAAGTATGCATATAAGAAAAACATTGCCATCGCTTGAGATTATATACCAAAAACAGATAAACATATATGATAAATAAGTGGTAATAGCAAAAAGAGAAAAAACAAGTATCCATATATATATATATATATATATATATATGAAAAGAAAAGAACATATATACCCAAATCCGTTGTTGGCATAATAGGGAAGATTGGAGAGTGTAGTCTCATCTACGTCAAAAACCCAAATGTCATTTGAAGCGATTTCGAGGTCCCTAGCATAAAAATAAGCTTCACGATTAACAGTTTTGGAATCTGATCTATATTGTTCGCTTAGCATGTAGTCTCCGATAAATTCTTCACATTCTTGTGGAATAGTTTTCCAGTCAATGAAGTTGTGTGCTTCCACACCAAGCCTCCAACTTGCGCACGATACTTCCGGAGCGTAGTGTTCATGTTAAGAACCTTGAGGTCACCACTTCAAAAGCTAGCTCAAAGGGTGGGAGTGCCAAGGCCTTATAAAGGCCATATTAGTTGCCCATCTAATCAATGCGGGACTATATATCTCAACACGCCCCCTCACGCAAGAGCCTTTTTAGGCTAGAAGCGTGGAAATTGCACAGGCTCATTTTTGGTTTACCTTTTTGTGCTTTTTTTTTTTTTTTTTTAATTCCACTTTTTAAAGCGGGGGACGGTGAGGCTCTGATACCATGTTAAAAACCTTGAGGTCACCACTCCAAAAGCTAGCTCAAAGGGTGGGAGTGCCCAAGGCCTTATAAAGGCCATATTAATTGCCCATCTAATCAATGCGGGACTATATATCGCAACAGTTCACCTAACCCAGTTTTCATTCGGAGAGGGAAAATTCGGAAGTTTGCACCGTGGCATGTTGCTACAATTGTGGCTAGAAAGAAAATAACTACCTTCATTCTCATCTCTATTGCTTCTACCTAGCACAGGATACTCTTGCAACATGGTTTGCTTCTTTAAATAGACGGCCAACGGAATTAATTTATGCTTATTTTTTAATTAATTAATATAATTCAATAAACTATAACTGAACGGAATTCATCCTACTGGAATAGAGAGTTAAACTTCTTATTATTACATTAACATCAAAATATCCCTCCTCTTTAATTAAATTAAAAGTGAATTTAATAATATTATGTATATTTTACTTATAAACATAATTCAAATCGGAACGGTGACCATTTTGTCATGTTTAGACAAAAAAATTACCAAACTGCCACGCCAAAAGTAAATTTTGCCAAAATGTCACGCGGCATAATTCGCTACACAGTGTAGCGAATTGTGCATGCAAGTAATTCGCTACACAGTGTAGCGAAATATGCCACGTCAGAACCAAAAATGTCACATGTCAAATTTTGAGAAATTCGCTACATAGGGTAGCGAATTTCTCAAAATTTGACATGTGACATTTTTGGTTCTGTGCATTCTGACGTGACATATTTCGCTACACTGTGTAGCAAATTACTTGCATGCATAATTTGCTACACTGTGTAGCGAATTATGTCGCGTGACATTTTGGCAAAATTTACTGTTAACGTCGCAGTCTGATAATTTTTTTGTACAAGCGTGGCACTTTGGTCACTGTCCCCTTCAAATCTTCTGTTGCTCTCTTATCACTTTTTTTTTTTTTTAAGTTTTTGTTTTCTTTTTACAATATGATGGGACCCATCATGTGAATGTGAGTGTGGTAGAAAGTTAAAATTTTACAGCAATACCGGAAAATATTTTGTCTTAGGAGGTGTTTGGTATGAAGCTTTTGTTTAGAATAACGGAGAAATGGAGTGGAGAATGTTTTTTTTTTTTTTTTTTGTAATAGTGGAGAATATTTTTTGTCTATGTTTGATATAAGTTATCCTAATTTATTTCCTGCAAAAAAATTCATCCATCAATCCACGTTTACACCATCAATAAAATTAATCACATGAAAAAAAGAATTCTCCCCAACTTATGGTATTTTTTCCCCATGTATTCTTATTCTAATCTTAACTAATTGAGACCATAATGCCCTCTTGATATATATGCAGATGTACTCTGATTATATATGGATAATTTGGAAATTTATGGTGAGATTTTCTTAATATTCTATCATCAACCAAACACACCATCAATAAAATTAACCTCATTTGTCCGATAAAATTTTGACATACCAAACATTTTTATTTACTTTTCCACGAAAAAAAATTTCACATCATATTCTTAGATTTTTTTTTCCCGGCTAAAAGGAATATCTTCTATACCAAACACCCCCTAAAATAACACTATTTTTTCTTATAAGTTTCGAGTTTGTTTGATCTCAATAAATAGATAAAATAATTTTGGAAGAAATGCGTCAATAATAAATTCCATAGTGTTTGAGCCGAAAAAATAAGTAATTGATGAACTGTAGATATATATAAAAATAATGAAAAAAATATTTGTCATTTTAAATAACATAGAGTTATTTTATTTTTAATAAAATTTTGTTATTTTGATATATTTTTAAATTTTCTCTCTTTAACTTTTTTTTTATTTCTAATTTTATAAAAAAAATGACAAAAGACATCAAAATAATATAATTTTTATTAAAAATGACATAAATTTATATATTTTAAAATCACATATGCAAAACCCAAATTGTAAAAGGCACTTGAAATTTGTAAATACAAGAGGTTGGTGCGTCAGCTGTCGCATCGTACAAATCATTTAATTATATTTGTGGTCCTTCAAAAGTAAAAGCTTAAAAGTATGGCGTTAACTTTGGAATTTCACCTAAAAAGAGAGTATTGTAACTTGGCAAGTGTCAGAAAAGAATTGGTCCCCAAAATACGGCACAAATATCGACCATGTTTCCAATTGATTCTCTATCTGTTTTCCTCATAAACATTTCTCTGAGCAGATTTGAATGCAGAAAAACTTTGGTACCCTCGTAGGTCGTAGCATTAAATTTGGTGCTCATTTTTATTAAAAAAGATTTTCTTTTAGAAAATGTAAAAATAAATCTGCATAAAAAAAGGAAATAAACTTTTTAATAAAAAAAATATGAAGTTCAGGTTAGGCCGGCCTATAAATTTCTTTGGATGAGTTTTTTTTCTCTCTTCAAAAACAGTTTTTTTCAAGAAAAAAAAAAGAAAATTTGTTTTTAGTTCGTTTGTATTTTTGCTTTTAAAAAAGAAAAAAGTGTTTGTCATTTTAAATGACATAAAGTTATGTCATTTTAAATGACATAAAGTTTTTTATTTAAATTTTAAATTAAAAAAACCACCCACTTTCTCTCTATCATGATTTTCATTTTCTGTGTCTATCTTTCTTCTAACATGACGTAACTTATGTCATTTAAAATGAGAAATACTAAGCCTTATAAAAAATCATACGTCAAAAAAGTTAAAAACTTACTTTTTTCAGAAGCTGAAAAATTTAGCTTCTAAGAAAAGCAAAAGTCAAAAGTTAATTTTTTTTCAAAAATTAAATATTTTAATAAAAATATAAATAGCTTTAACTTTTATAAAAAGCACTTCTAAAATAAGAAAGAGATAAACGTTACTTTTTTAAGAAGCTCAAACAAACGGGCTCTAAGTTAGGTTAAGATTAACCTATTATAAATAGTCAAATGGAACATATCTAGGCTTTTAATAAAATTTATTTAGAAAACATGCCATAGTTTTGTTGTACATGTCAGGCCTAAAAGCCTACAGACCGGCTTATAGCACATTATTTATTTTGAATAAAATAAATAAATTATTATTTTTATAATTGTGAATAATAAAATAATGTTATTTTAACTACTGATGTTTAATAGGCATAAAAACATTAACCTGCCTAAATCAAAAAAATTATTTTTTATACAAGTCAGGTCAAATTTATTATTTGGTGCCTACACAAGTTAATAGGTTAGGTCAAACTTAAATTTTTTTATACAAATCTAATCCATTTAAGTTAAAGTCTAAACTAATTTATTTACCGCGCTGGATATACGGAGCACCAAAAAATTTCTCATTTAAACAAGACAGGAACAAGAACCGACCCTAATCCAAGGATAAGCATATATGTTGTAGATTATGCAGTGTGGCCTCATCTACATCAATGAGCCATTTGTAGTTGCCGTCCTCTACCATAACAAAAATCCTCCGCAACTGTTTTGGAGTCTATTATATTTCCATAGTCATCAATATTTGTTAAGTTTTCGCTAGTAATAAGAAATTATTTTAAAATAAGAGATTTAACAATTCCAAAGGAGTTGACTCCTTATTGGTACTCAAATTAAATATAACCAGTTTTTAAATAATTAAATTTTAAAAATTGTATATAAAATTGATTGTGTTTAAGCCATTAAGATTGATTTAATAATGAGAAATTTGGATACATTATATTAAGATACATTTTAATTCTCACTTGTATTAAAATAATAAATTGATTATGCTTTGAAAATGCTAATAATACTTGTTAAAAAAACTCTTTTAGAGTGAGCATGTAAAATTATATCTATTTTTAATTTTTAATAAATTAAGAATAGATATAATATTATTTTATTATGCATGAGTTGAGATCCAATTTGTTAAGGGTTTATTTTTTATAAAATTACTTTAGATAACTTTGTTCAATATTCACTGAAACGATGTTATTTTAGGGGCAGAAATTATGAGATGTTTGTAATTTTAATTTATTTTGGAGATATAACAGTCTTTATCATTCTAATTTTTTAATCCTAAAATGATGTCGTTTTGGTGAATTTTAGACAAAGTTATATAAAGTAAATTAGATTTTTTTTCCATTATGTGAAAATTTTGTTGATGATTTCTACTATAAATTTTCAAAGAGACGTGACTTCACATAAAATTTTATTTATAAAAAAATATTTTTTTCTATTCTAAAAAATAACCCTAAATCAGAAACATAAACTGATATAAATAAATAAAAAATTAAAAAAATTTCCCAACACATTTAATATACATATAAAGCAAAATATATTATCAAGATTAAATATACATTAATTATTAAATATTTTATTTATTAATTAGATATTGTCTGATCTCTCGATGGTAATAAAAATGAATTATGTTATGAAATATATAAAAATAAATTATTATATATTTTAAAAATAGGATAGGATATTGTAATAACTAATTAGTATTACTACCAATCAATTTCACCAATTATGTTGATCGAATGGTTATATTTATTTCTATTTTTGTGTGGTTATGATTTCTTAATTTAATGTGAAAACATTAAATATGAAAAATTATAACCATACAAAGGTAAAAATAAATATTAAATATTAAATATTAAATATGAGGAATCAAAATCATACAAAGAAGAAAATAAATAAAATCGTTGAATCAATATAATCGATCTAACGATAAAATTAATTGATAATAATATTAATAATAAGACTAATTGATTATTATAATATTCTTTATCTTTAAAAACTTTCAAAAAAATATATCTATTCTCTGCACCATTCCAGACTTGTCTTCACAGCGGGAGCATAGCGTGGTGATTTCTGTCGATATTATGAGTACGATTGGATCATGCACGAGGAAAACGCGCACATTATTTTAATTTTTTTTTAGTACTCTTTCTGCCAACTAACTAGCTTTATAATTCTACCTTTTGCCACGTCATTTTTGTCCTGATTTTCATTTTTATATTAAAAATATATTATTTTATTTATTTATTTTATCTATTAATTCCAAACACTGATTATGATCTAACTATATTAAAGATTAATATATAAAATAGATATAAAATAAATAAATAAGTAAAACAACTTATCCCTTTATAATGTAAATACTCGCTACCAACCAACATTATTGTACACTTTGTCTTGTCTTGTCATGTCCCCATGGATGAACAAAACGAGGTCACTATTTTGAATTTTCTAGAGAGTAAGCCCCCTAACATTACCCTGGACTTTGCTGTAAAA